CATAAGATTAGTCATGGTTTGGACCAGCAAATAGTACCAAAAAAAAAAAAAAAAAGGTCATTTCAAACATTTAGTTTTTTCTGTTAGTTTATTAGACAACTGCTACCATTTTACAATCCCGGGGTTATGTGCCCAAATCGATATAAAAAAGGAATGAAGTACTAAACTGTGAAACCAGTGAAACCATAGGGAGGTTAATTGCTATTTACGCTTATAATTATTAAAACAGTATGTCGATTCAATTATAATAATAACACATAGCCACACAGATTGGCCAAATTCATGCACTAAACAAACTCAGACGGAAGAAAATGTCATAAAATTAAACTTACATAATATTAGAAGAAAGTGTTCAAAATCTCCACACAGGATCTGACAAAAAACTGGATAGTGTGATTCTTTTTTTTTTTTACCATGCTCCGAATAATATATCTTAATTAGACATTACAAAGGATATGAAACTTTTAGAACGTGTCCTCATCTTTTCAGTGTAACTTGAACCACGGAATCAATTAATATGAGAAAGTAGTTATCAAACTAAGGTCAAAAATTAGAAATAAGTCATGTTAATTCGAATGTAGGAATTAAGATCAACCCCACTCCCTCCCACCACCCTCTTCCACCTCCACCCGCTTCCCAATTACCCTCACCCGGCCCGTCGGACTGCCACCGTTGTTGTCAGACATCCATCTCTTTATGGTCGGTTAATGGAGGAGGGATTAGAAGTAAAATTAGGGGTAAAATTTGTAATTTCGTGTGGTTAAAGCCTAAAGGTACTCCTGTCAAAAAAAAAAAAAAAAAGGATATATTGGTATGATTTAAAAAATTTCTAAAATTCCGAAAAAATCGAAGTTTATGAAATTGGACTGGATATGGAATTGGAATTGGAACTAGAAGTGGTTGTGTGCTTCAAAAAAATCATTTTTTTTCCGAGAAGACCGATTATTATATTATTAATTAATACAAGATCCGAACTACCGACGGCCAAACATTCTAATTAACACACAAGTAACACTAGTTCCTATTTGTCTTAAACTCCCACTACAACATTTATGGCTTTATGCGATGGAAAAAAACCGTCGGGAAAAGTAGAAAAACCGTCGGGAGCATTATTCTTGACGGTTTTCAACCGTCACGAAACCGTCAAGAAAAAGGCCGTCGTATATACTTCCACGTGTAAAAAAACCGTCGGGAATAATGTTTCTCGACGCTTTGAGAACCGTCGTAAATACTCATGTATATTTTGAAAACCGTCGAGAATACATTTCTTGACAGTTGAAAACCGTCATGAATACTGGTATATATTTTTCAATATTTTCTTCGAATTAGTACTGAAAACTATTAAAAAATGTAGCTGCATGCCAAAAATTATTATAATTTCCCAACGAGAACATATACAGATGCCAAAAATCACTAAGATTCCCCAAATACATGAATTCTTGTTTTCCAAAAGTATGTAAAACCAAACTTCATGAAATTTATGTTTAAAACGACACTTACATTCACTTCTAAAGTCTATACATCTGAATTTACATTCACTTCTAAAGTCTATGCAAGGCCAGAATTCTTGAATCATCCAATCAAGACCTTACTCAGAGAATTATTTGAATATGAAAGTTTATCAGCAACTACTGCTGGATTCTCCTGCAGTACAAAGTTCATAGTTAATGCTCAAGACAAACTTAGAAAAAATAGTACTAAATTAATCAAATATACGAAACTGATGGAAATTATCCTGCAAGTACGTCAATAAAAATTTCAAATCAAGAATATAATAAAATCAGTTAAAAAAAAATGATTTTTTTTTACCTGAAAGGCATTCTCTATTGTATGCATTTTCCATGGTTCATAACCCTGTGAGAACAAAAACAGAACTGGAAATTGGGTTGAAAGCAATAATGATACCTGCCAATGCACACATCATTAGAACCCATGGTAGTTATGTCTTATATATGTCCTTTATGGACAACAGTAGCCTATATACAAATATTAGACTTAAATGGTCAGAAAGGCTTTAGTGCAGCTATACAATCTCAGTAATATTTAACTCAGTATTAAGGACTCAAGGGTGGTTTCATGTGACACTTTGACTACTATGAGGGTTTTGTTCTATCCAAAGTAACACATAAAGAATTAAACACCTTATTGAAAACAAAGTATGTGTACCATAGAAGAACAAGAAATAAACCTGGAAGTATGATAAAATTTTATCGTCCACCTCAGCTACAATGAATAACCTACAAAAGCCAAACGTAAACAGACCATTAGGCAATAATAAGTCTTTTTAGTATTTTCAGTACCATCTAAAGCACGAGCAGGGGAAAAACGATTGTCTAGTTCAATTAGTTAGTAAATAGTAGAGCTACCTCTAGTTGCTCATAAAGACTCATTTTGAAGGTCTAGTTGCAGTTGTAGTGCCTCCTTAAGTTGCGTACCCCTGCAAACGGTTTTCAAATCTTTGAGAAAAATGAAATTAACTGCGATGGAAGAAAGTTTGTATCTTTGCAACTGTTTAGGCTCAACACGTGGAAAATAAAATGCTAGTTTTGAGCTTAACACAATCTATAATATGCATCCTACTAAAATATAGGTAGCATGAAATAGCAATTTTACAATTTGATGCCAATTCCTGCTGCATGATTCAACTAGTCTTCTTCACAGATGTTTTAGTTGCATCATGTATGTGAAAATAACAGTCGAAAAGAGCGAGTTAGCAACAATATGAGAAGGCAAGACAGGGGTTTGGCAAATGACAAAGGAACAACTGTAGCAGACATCTCGCATTATGAGTCATGTCTTATTCAGAGAAAAAATAAAGGATGACCCTGCAATTAGACCACACAAAATACTCCATGAAAAGGATACCACATTACCTTTTAAAATGCAGACTGACAAAGTGGAACTTAACTAACATAATCTACATTACCTTCAAATTTCAATGATAAAATTAGTAGCCAACAAATAAGCAGTTTAACTTAGGCACTAATAAATAAAATATGGGCATTAACAATAAATAAAAAAGACATTGTACCTGTGTGGCCAATTCCCTAGTGGGTAAAGCAAGAGAATACTAGGTAACCTTCCATATCCAGCCCTTCGTGATGCTTTTGCAGGGAAGTTAGTCAGTGAGAGAGATATAAAAGGTAGAGCAAGGGAACTAACTCAAACACTTCGCACAAACACAAAAAAGAGAAGAAAGGGATGGAATATAACCAAAGTATACCCGAGAGGATCCAGTTTCCAATAATCTAAGTTGGTGTCAATAACCTGAAAAGAGAGCCAGGTGAAATCTCCCAACCGAGGCATTTTAAGAAGAAAAATAACCTCCATTAAAATCAGAATGGAATAAAGATAACTGAAAAGTATACCAGTAGCTGATTAGTGATTCTACAATATCTCCAATCCCCAAAAACTGTTTTAGAAATTAAATTCTAGCAATAAGGACAAGAAAAGAGAGGCTAAAACTAAGTCATTCAGATCGAGATTTCATAATTTTGTCATTTTCTCAGAAACCCAACCAGCTAGCTATCACATTTTCAATTACCCAAGTATCAAATGAATGCTTCATACATTCATCCATTCTACAAGCAGCGCACTCATTGAAATAAAAGTTCAGTGAAAAGCGACCTAATTGAAGTTTACTTCAAACTCATTTATTCACAAAACTAGGATTACTGAAAATTAACCAAAACATAAAATATAAGATGGAAGGAGAAAAGTGTTCACCTAGAATCGGATATCAAATCGCGATTGAGAAAATTCAGTGTCTGGTGAAGTCGGATGGATACAAATTTGACAATCAAATCGCGACTAAACTCGAATGTGAAAAGAAATTAAGACGAGAAACTTAAAACCTAATTAGCAATGTAAAACGTCAATGTGACGGCGGAGGCGGACCGGTGGTCGTAACGATGGTGGTGCCGGTGATGGTGAGGGTGACGGAGCCGGTTGCGGTGGCGGTGGCGTAGCAGGATCGAAGAAAAGCCCTAGCATTTCTAAATGACGGGAGAGAGAAAGTATTAAGAGAAAAAAAATGTGAGAGACTTTTTTTATTAACTTAAATCTGGTTCATATTTAATATTAGTTAATTAAATATTTAAATTAGACTTTCTATTCTGACGGTTTTTATGAGTCATAATTGGTTTAAAAAACGTCAACAATATTCTCTTACACGACGGTTTTTTAGTGTCAAAATTGATTAAAAAAGCGTCAAAAATCCTTTTTATACGACGGTTATTGAACAGTCAGGTAAAAAAAGTGTCGTATAAAGCCTAAATTGTTGTAGTGTCCAAAGGTACAATTGAAAGAAACAAGTTGGTGCAAACAGTATTAATAATAGTGAATGAGCACATTTCATAAATTAAAAGCCCTCCAATTTCATACATTAGTAGAAACTTGAAATATATTCATTCATAGAATAAATAAATAAATAAATAAATAAAAAGTCCGCAGACAACGGCTATTAATAATACTGGGAAGACAGTCCCCACTCTCCCATATTTCCTTCTCCGACCACAAAACTACATTTGTATATACATACAATTAATTAAATTAAATAAAATAAAATAAATAAAAAAGATCCCCCCAATACCAATTATATACCCTGCACGCACATTTATTTCCAAAACCCTTCTCATATTTTTATATCAACACGGGTGAAAGCAAAAAAAAATTAAATTTCCAGCGTTCCTCCAAGTTTCAGAAATTCGGAGGGGTAGGGGCTTTTTCGTAATTACGACGACAGTTTTTATGGAAGGTGAAAGAGGGAAAAGATCAAAGAGAAAAAGATGGCCTTCTCCTTCAAGAATAGCATTTTATTCTCTTGGTTTCCTCTTGTTATTTTCAGGTGTCTGTTTACTATCCTCCGCCCAGAAGATCAGCGGCGGCGGCGGCGGCGCACGGTTGTCCCCGGCGAGAAAAACGCGGTTTCATGGCCATGCAGTAGCAAGAGCGAATTCAACTTCAATTTCGGACAAGTTTTATGATGAAGACAACAAGAGATTAGTGCACACGGGCCCGAACCCTCTGCACAACTAATTAATTAAGCGGTGATCGAATTCGCATTTGCTACAATGGATTCTAATTTTTTTTTTTCGGAAAAAAAAAAGAAAAAAAAAAGACTGTAAGTTCATTCTGCTATTCTTTATTTTATGTTCTTTATTTTTTTTTATGGCATGTGAATTAGAATTGATTGTAGCAAAGGCATTGTTTTAGCTTTTTCAGTGATTAAAATTTAAATGGTCTGTTATGGGCAGTTCTGCAGAAAAAGAAAAAAAAAAAGAAAGAGAGGATGGAAATAATTAAGGGGTGTTAAATGCTCTTGCTTCCTTTTGCCAGTGTTTTCTTTTTTTTTTTTTTTTTTCTTTTTTTTTTGTTTGCTGTACCTTCTGTTATACATTAATGTTTTTTGTATTGATTGCTGTTAGTAATTACTGTTGTTCATCTACTCAACCATCTTTTTTTTTTTTCTTTTCAATTTCGAATTCAGAATTCTTCCCACCCCCAAAAACAAATGAAGATGGGGGCAACAAAAAAGTGATCATTTTTTTTTCAATTTATGTGTTTTTATTGAATATTCATAACAATTGAATGGAATTTCAGTAGTCGTAGTTGTTAAATTTTAATTTTGGGGACATTCTACCAAGGTTCTTGATTATATATATATATATATATATATAAAGAGTTAGTTGTACGGTAATCTTTTTTCAATGGATTCTGCAAGAACATCAGCGAAGCCATGATTTTAAGCTAGAGCTAGAGCTTTATGACGAGCTCAAGTTCGAGCTTATTTGTAGTCGTTCATGAGCTCACAAATAGCACACGAGTTTTAATTTTTTGATTGTTATTTTTTATTTTCTATTGTAAATTTAAAATATAATAATATAATAATAAATACATATACAAATTTAAAAACCTGATATTTTTTTTTGTGTTTTTTCTATATAAAAAATAATTTATGATAAAAATCAAAATATGAATTAAAAAAAATACCCAAACATAGAATCACATGAGCTTGAGCTCGCCAAACTCGAGTCGTGTTGAATGACCATCTCAACCAAAAGCGAGCTCAGAAAATGAAACTTAAATGAGCTCGAGTACAAGGTTGTTAAATTGGTCGAGCTCGAACTCAAAAAAAAAATCTGGTGAGCTCGGCTCATTTGTACCGTGACATAAGGAGATGTGACTTATTTACCTCATGAGATTTTTCTCTCTTTTGCTTTTAGGCATATAACAAATAATATAATCCCTTGAAGCATGTCGTAAATTACGAACAAAATCCCTCTTATTTTCAAACTTACCCTCCCATAAGGTATATCACCATTTAACAGTCTCCTCACGACGTTAGTTTTAATAAAAATCTTTTAGATTAATAAAAATACCCATTCAAATATTTCAATTTTACCCTTGGAAATTTAAAAGGATGTAATAGTAATATTTTTTTATTTATGAGGGTTAATTGTATTATTTTTTTGTGAAAACATGAAATATATTTATTTTACTTTGTTTTTATAAATATTAAACAGTTGTTTTACTTTCTCACTTCATTTATTTATCTTCTATAAAATTTAAATAATATCCCCAAGCGACACATTTAAATTAGTCATTATAACTTTTTTTAGGAACGAACAAAACGTATTATATTTGTCTAACGTTGTTGCTCAATTTTGGTTTTTGTCTAATATTTGTCTAAAAATATATGCGAAAAATAGTAACCGATTAAGATTATTTTATATGCAAAAAGGTCTTTATAATTTCTTCAATAAACATAAATAGTTATGCCGTTCGATTGTTCGTAAGAAATGAATGGATTGAGAGTTGAGACCCGATGACATTGTCCATAAAATTGGAGTCTCGTTGCCCCCGCTCAAGTATGTTTAATGAACAACGGATTAACTCGACACACTAGAATCGTCATAAAATTGGGGTCGTATTAAGTGTGAGGCAAATAAACTTATGAGTCATATTCGAAATGATCTTACGAGACTAATTTCTAGATTATCGTTATTATCGTGGTTGATTGATACAAATTATCTGGACCATTAAGCCTAATAAGAAAATAAGATTTTTTTTCTCCACAAAATTTGTATGAGTTTCGATAACATTAGTGGAATATATATTAATAAGGAAAAACCATATTTTTGCAATAACTTCATATTAAAAATGGGGCAATTACAGTTTTCATCCCTTAAGTTTGCACTGATTTCATAATTGATCCCCATATTAACAAAAAAACATATCCGGTCCCTTATGTTACAATAACTTAATATTTTTGGTCATTTCCATCAATTTACTGTTAGTTCGTCAGTTCATGCAATGATAGTCACACACTTAATTCCGTTACTATTAACGGAAAGTTGACGAAAATGGCGAAAACTATTGAATTTTTAAAACACGAGGGACCAAATATGATTTTTCTGAATACAAGGAACTAAATGTGGAATCAATACAAACTTGAGGGATGAAAACGGTATTTCTCACATTAGAAAACTATGGGGTGACGAGGAAGGTCCCGCAGTAATTCAAATCACATAGGCTGGAAGAATGAAGAATTAATTATTTTAATGAAAATACCAACAACCCAAAACGCGCTTTATATTAATGTTAATGAATGAAGGTCCCCCTTCATCCTACTTGGCACGATTTTATTTTATATACACATCTTAGGTAGTGTTTGGTTTGCATATTTAAATAACTGAATTTCAAGAGGGATATTGCTTTAATTTACCAGGTTACTAGTGGTCCTCAATGAGAATGTTCTCATAAGTGCTACTAAAAACTACCTCAGTTCTGAAAGTGTAAGTTTTAGTTCTACTTGCATATTTACATCCAAACGTGTCATTGTATGTGTTTTCCAACACACTCTTTCAGCATACTTAAAAGAGTATACAAAAATTATCAAAAACAAAAAAAAAAGAGTATACAAAATTCAAGTCTTTAAAAGAAACGACTAATGTAGGTGTTATATACAGTAGAATCTCGAGAAATTAATATCCAGATAAATTAATAACTTTGATTAAATAATATTGTTTCCCCAGTCCCGACTCGTGGACAACGTGCTAAATGAATAATTTAATAAATTTATAAGATTATAAACATTCAAAAATTTTAAGAAGCCCCCATATAATATATAAATTAATAATGCCTAAAAATAATTCTTAAATTACTTAGTACAATAAATATTTTATAGATCGATGAAGGCTTAATAAAATATAATTTAATTATCTCTTGTTTCTTGTTGAAGTTCACATCACCATCAATCTCGTCCCTTATTTTTCTTAACATGGTTAGAACTTGTAGTATAGTTTTCTCTAACTCAACATAAAATTGTTCAATATCATTGCTACTTTAAGAGTTTTCGTTCGAGAGACAGGCTCTATAGTACATTGAACTAATGTTACAATAAATAATGGATAATATATATACGTAAAAAAATAAAAATAAAAATGTATTTGTTGAAAATAATGATAAAAAATAATTTTATAACTTAATAAGTTATTAATTAATGTATAAATTAATAATTATTAATTTATCGATCAATTAATATTTCGCTTAAGTAATAGGATTTTGATGATCTTATATAGGTTTAACTATAGATTGTAAATTGTAATCACTTAGGTGAATTTGTGACCGCTTTTGCTATGAATCTTGGAACTGCTTCGAATAATAAAGATAAAGTTTGGGCTTTTTATACGGGATTAAAAATCACAAAAGACATGCATATTGTAAACCTCGTTATTGAAACAGACTCATTTTATCTCTTATCTTCTCTTAACAGGAAGGAGAATCATCACAGCAAAATGCTTACACTGATCCAGGACGCAACGGAAATGCGTCAGCATAAAGTTCTGCTATAAGGAAGTTAATGGTGTTGCTGACACACTTGCTAAACTAGGTGCATCTTTAGATCCAAACAAAACTGTGTTTTTTGATAATGTTACAACTTCTTTTTTGAACCCTTGTTTAAGGATTGTTTTTGCTCTTTTGATCGATGTATCATCAGACAATGTAACTCTTCCCTCCTTTTGAAGTAGTCTAATGAAAGTTGGTTTTTCCGCGCCAAAGAAAAAAAAAACAAAGAAAGAAAGAAAACTTACACGAAGGAGGAAGGGAAGGAAGATTGTGCACCTATTTTTTGTAAATGTTTCTAATGCAGGACACAGTCGAAAAATTACGTTCATGTTTTTGTAGTTTCCAAGGACTTAGAAAGGTGTGAACTAATAGTAAAGGGATATTGTTGGATAGTGAAGATGAGCTTACAGACAGTGAAATAATCACTTAAATCATCT